AAATGTGTGCTTTAAGAATGCAATTTCCAGTGCCTTTTGAATGATTCAATACATACCCTTTGCTTTTGATTCAGACTAAACACAATCAAAAGTATGCCTGTAGAAATTATGAAGTGTATACTTTCCAATTCCATATTTCCTATTTACATAGAACTGAAAATCAGGTTATTAATATTACACCAAGGAAAATGTAGGAAAGAGGGGATGTCATTTTTTTTTAATAACCCCTAAGAACTCCATTACATTCATGGTGATTTTTCTTTATGCCATTTTACTCTGATGCCAAACCATTATGATTTTCCTTCGTCATCATAGAGTACCCAAAGCAACCTGGAGACAGACTTCTGACATTCTACCAGAGTAATTTTTACTATACAAATAGTCAAGATATGAACATTTAGGGAGAAAGTAGAGATCAGCTTATTGATTCCAAAATGGATTTTGCAGCAGATTCCCAAAATCTAACACAAAATTAATGTGCAAATAATTTTTATTAGTGACTAGAGGCCCAGTACACAAAATTTGTACACTGGGGAGGCGGGGGAGGAGAGGGTCCCTCAGCCTGGCCTGCACCCTCTCGTAGTCAAGGAACCCTTGGGGGATGTCCGACTGATGGCTTAGGCCTGCTTCTGCCACCACCACTGCACTTGTCAAGCTTCTGGCTAAGCAGCACTCCCCCGTGGGAGCTCACTGACCACCAGGGGCAGTTCCTGCATTGAGCATCTGGCCCCGTGGTGGTCCATGCACATCATAGCTTCAGGCTGAAACTGGCTCTCTAACATCCTCCGAGGGGTCCCAGATTGCAAGAGGGCTCAGGCCAGGCCGAGGGACCCCACCCATGCACAATCAGGTCCGGGAGGGACGCAGGAGTTTAGCCAGACAGGGAGGGACTGCAGGAAGACTCCAGAGTGTGTCTAGCTAGCCCAACTTGCTCAGTCCTGATCAGCCGAACCCCGGCAGCAAGCTAACCTACCGGTTGGAGCATCTGCCCCCTGGTGGTCAGTGCACGTCATAGCGAGTGGTTGAGCGGCCTCAGCATGTCATTAGCATATTATGCTTTGATTGGTTGAATGGCCAACTGGATGACCACTTAGCATATTAGGCTTTTATTACATAGGATTATAACCCACTCAAAGCAGCTTAGACCAACCTGCTAACCTTTGTTGTCATCACTGATAATCAGATAAAAAAATAGATGGACAAAAGGCAACCCACAGATTACTGGAGAGGCATTCAGTGGCCACTTTCCCCAAATGCAACCCAAAGGTGCACAGGGCACTTCAGTTAGGTTTTTTTTTTTCGTTTTTTTTTATTGCTTAAAGTATTAGAAAGAGTATTACATATGTCTCCTTTTTCCAGTTAGGTTTTATAGTCACTATTCCATTCGTCTGTGTGAGTCACATGGGTAGTCATGAAAGGCTTCAGACTTATATGGCATAACCCAGGTACCCAGGCATCAGAATGTGGAGAACTAGGGAACAAATAACCGTGTCTTCAATAAATATACTGGAAGTCAAAATAAAAAGAGCATATAAGACTGAGACTTGAGACATCCAACTGGATGTCTTATATGCATTGATTCAAACAAACCAAATGTAAAACTTGAGAGGGAATTTTGAACAGTGACTACATATTTGATGCTATTAAGGGATTATTAGCTTTTTATATAATAGGATATTGGATTTATGGTTTTTAAAGAGTTCTTATCTTTTAGAGATACATACTAAAATATAAAATGACACATTTGGTATTTATTTCAAAATAAATCATAAAACGAGCTATAATTTATCATTGTAGGTGGGTGATGGATACACAGGGGATCAAGTGTATCATTTTCTCTACTTTTATATATATTTGAAAGTTTCCATAATAAAAAGTGAAAATATTTTAGGTTCTTGTATAAAAATATGCAACAAAGAGGCTCATAGTATTACTACTGAGGATGATTCATAAACATTGCAAGCAAAATAACTTAAGCTGCCATAAAGTACTACCGTAATGTAAGAAAAATGCACCCATCAGAAGGAATATATGCACCCCTATGTTCACAGCAGCACAATTTACAATAGCCACGATTTGGAAACAGCCTAAGTGCCCATCAGCAGATGAGTGGAGCAGATGGATGAATTCTAAAAAGTTCCACAAATCCATTGGTAGCTACAATTTCCACATTCAATATACCATTCCCAAGGTAATTTAAAAGGCAAACATTTTAAAAGAAAGGGCTTAAAAACATACATTTTGCAAGGGATTAACTGCAAGTTTAAAAACAAATTCTAGCCCTAGCTGGTTTGGCTCAGTGATAGGGCATCAGCCTGCAGACTAAAGGGTCCCAGGTTGATTCTGGTCAAGAGCATAAGCCCAGGTTGTGGGCTCCATCCCTGGTAGGGGGCGTGCAGGAGGCAGCTGATCAATTCTCTCTCATCATTAATGTTCCTATCTCTCCCTCTCCCTTACGCTCTGAAATCAATAAAAATATATTTTAAAAAAAAATTCCAAGTTTTCTGTATTCTCAGAATTCATAGTCTTAATTCTTTAAAAAACAAAAATAACAAAATGAAGTCTCAAGTCTTTGCATCAGCCCCTTTTCCAGATACCTTTGTATGAGGTCATTACTCATATTCAGCAAATGGTACCTATTAAGTGCTAGGCTCCGTGGTATAATGGTGAACACACAAACCTTGCCCTCTAGAAGCAGATATTCTAGATAGGGCTGCAGATGTGATATCAGACCATTACAGCAAAGTGCACTAAGACTCTAAGCCTATGTTTGTCTATAAACTTTTTTTTTAATATATTTTTTATTGATTTCAGAGAGGAAGGGAGGGAGATAGAAACATCAATGATGAGAATCACTGATCGGCTGCCTCCTGCATGTCCCCCACTGGGAGGGATTGAGCTCACAACCCAGGCATGTGCCCCTGGTAGTAATCGAACCCGGGACCTTTCAGTCCATAGACTGATGCTCTATCCACTGAGCCAAACTGGCTAGGGCTGAACTTTTATTTTAAAGAATAAGTCTAAGAGTCAGAGTCATGAGACAGCAGTTTACATTTCATGATGGAAATAATTGATTTCACATGTTATTGACACCATTCTCAATTCTGAATACCTGGGATGCTACCTTTTCATTTTATTGTGCACCCTCAACCAAGGATATTTTTCCATTGATTTTTAGAGAGAGTGGGAGGGGGAGAGACAGAGAGAGAGCAACATCAATGTGAGAGAGACCCATCCATTGGTTGCCTCCAACACTTGCTCCTATCAGGCCTGGGGATCGAGCATGCAACCCAGGTACATGCCCTTGACTGGAATCGAACCTGGGTCCCTTCAGTCCATGGGCTGACACTCTAACCCAGTGGTTCTCAACCTTCTGGCCCTTTAAATACAGTTCCTCATGTTGTAACCCAACCATAAAATTATTTTCGTTGCTACTTCATAACTGTAATGTTGCTACTGTTATGAATCGTCATGTAAATATCTGATATGCAGGATGGTCTTAGGCGACCCCTGTGAAAGGGTCGTTCGACCACCAAAGGGGTCGCGACCCACAGGTTGAGAACCGCTGCCAGTCAAACTGGCCAGGACAAGGATGCTACCTCTTTAAAACTGGTTCAAATGTTAACGTATTTTATACTAACTGGATAAAGAAACAATTGGCACAGAGGAGCTAACTACCCCTAATGCTTTGTCAAGAAGTAAATACTTCACATTTCAAAGCTTAAAACTGTTTGTATGAAATAAAAATCCAAGAGCTTTCTCCTCCCAGCTAAAGTCATTTATTTGACCATAAATAAACGCTTTGGGAATAGCCATGAGACGTATTATCCTGTATGGTGGAAACCCCCCATCCCCAGATAACATCTTAATGCCCCAAAATGATTCATTAAGTCTGATTATCCAATGATGTATCTATTGGTTGATTTCCCTAAACTTTGTCCCACCAAACACCCTATCTTCAGTTCATCATATGTTTAGCACAAGTTCATTCTACATTCATAATTTTTCAATAATACTGTTTATCCCACCATTTTGTCAGGATAATTTTAACAGTTATAAATACCTCTTTCTGTAATCCATAACCAACTAAAAAAGAAAGTAGACACCAAAAATCTTTCATGCTTAAATGCAAATGTATTCAGTTCCTTTCCATGCCGCACATAATCAGGTATCTATGTGCTTGTTATTCCTGTTCTAATTCAAGTTTGGGGCACCTTTGAGGATACACTCATCCTCCACAGTGAGCTATATTGCACTGTGCTAGTATGTATCTTATGTCGGGGGGAAAGGAACATTCCTGACCTATAGCTCAGTCACATGGGGAGTGTTCTGGGAGGACAGGTGGTCTATTGTATCTTCCGTTGTTGTCACGAGGCTTACAGTAGGGTCATTATCAGTTCATGTCAACAGATGCCTATAGAAGCCACTCAGATATGCTATAGCAGGGAAGAAGGCACAGGAGAAGAGGAGGAGACTTGATGTCCTATGATGGAGTGTAGAGGCTGGTCTAGGTACAGAAACCGGGAATAACGGAAGAGAGGAGGTCCTCCTTAGGATGCCATGCCAAGCAGAAAGCCTCCGAAAAATCCACCAGTCACTAGAACATTCTTCTTCACAAACAACACCACCTGGGAAACAAGAGACAGCGCAATAAGCTATTTTGCTAATGATCTTATTATTATTAGAAACTAGAGGCCCGGCGCATGGAATTCATGTGCAGGTAGGGTCCTTAGGCCTGGCCTGAGATCAGGACTGATCTTCCCCGGCTGCCGGCAGCTGGCCCCACCTGCCACCGCCGCCGGTAACCCTGTGTGTGGGGGGCAACTGGACCCTGGCACCGCCCGCATCTGGCAACACCCACCCCCAGTTCCCAATCAGGTGATCAGGGGCTGGGGACAGCTCCTGTGTTGAGCGTCTGCCCCGATAGTCAGTGCACATCATAGCCGACCAGCTGCTCCACCGTCCAGTCGATTTGCATCTTACGCTTTTATATAGAGAGAGAGCAGTGATGGCAAACCTATGACACGCATGTCAGAGGACACGGGAACTCATTTTTTTGGTTGATTTTTCTTTGTTAAATGGCATTTAAATATTTAAAATAAATATCAAAAATATAAGTCTTTGTTTTACTATGGTTGCAAATATCAAAAAATTT